AATGGGGTACGGCTTGGAAGATCGTGAAAGCCTCATGTCCTAAAAGGGCATGGTATCCACTGCTGAACGGGGCCACTTGAAATGTAATTTCTTCGGACCTATAGTTCTCTGGCATACCGAATACCACATCTAGTGTGATTTTCCCAGCGCATCGTGCTTCCCGACTGGGTATGATTCCTCTGAAGGTTGTGCTACTTTGCTCAATGCGGTTCCAATCTATTTCCATTTTTTGAAGAGTTTCCTCATAGATGAGGTTTAATCCGCTGCCGCCGTCCATGAGTACTTTGGTGAGTCGAAAGCCGTCCATGATTGGACTGAGGACCAGTGCGGCTGGTGCTCGGGCCGTTAGGAATTTAGGTTTGTCACTAGCATTGAAGGTAATAGCCGTGTCACTCCATGGATTTATTGCTGCTACGTGACAGATTTCGGCAATGCTGCGGAGTGTTCGCTTGCACCTATTATTTGACGCGAAGGTCTCAAAGACTGTTAATACCGTATTGTTATCCATGGGACGGTGCTCTGTGGCATTGGGGATAAGAAGATCCTCACCACTTTTGGCAACCTGCCGGAGTATCCAACATGCTCTAAGGCTGTGCGTTGGTATTGTATCCGCTGTGCTATGAATTTTGCAGGGTCCGTTAAGCCATCCCTCCAACACGGTTTCGTGCCCTGTAGAGGGTTTTTTACTTCTTTGTAATGAACGTGGGTGTCTTGTGATAGTGCACCCTTTTACCTCGGACTGGGTGCATATTCGGAGCCGGATTATCCCAAAACTCCGTTTTGGTTTTCCAGGCACTTTCCATCGCACAGTACTTTCGTACTATGGACGCCAAGTCGGCGAAGCGTGATATGTCACGGTGACTTATGGCGTTAAGGATTCCCTTGTCCGTGCAGTTATTGCAGAAAAGTGAGACTGCGTCTTCCTCGCGACAGTCCTTAACCTTGTTCATCACAAGGAGGAATCTGGCCCAATAATGATGTACTGTTTCATGGGGCTCTTGCCTGATGTGGGAAAGATTGTTTATGTCTGGGTGGGTGGGTGTATTTGAGTCCGGACCCCTACCCGATCTAAGACCCAGGGGCCGAGGGGTTTCCGATCTTGGAAGTTCAGATTCTGGTATGTTGCCCGATGAGTCTGGCCCGCTGCCTGACTCTAGGTTCAGGGTTTGGGTGATGTCCTCCCGTAAATGGGTATCCGGCTCGGAGAGCTCAGGAATTCGGACATACTTAGTCCTCAAGATAGAGGAAGAATCATCGCATTGTTCCTCCACCACCGCAACATGATGGGTGACCGGTGGAGAGTTAATCTCCCTTCGATCGGGTTTAAGCCCAATCCGATCATAGTTCGTAGCGACTCCCAAGGCGGCGATGCGATCCAAGAGTTCGTTTAGGAAAGAGAGCTCCATTGGATCCATCTGCTCGGCGAATTCCGAGCCGACGTGGAGGCTATTTTTGATGACCCAAGAAGTCATCGTCGGTGCAGTGGCCGAACAGGCGGTCATGACGAAACTGCCTAGCCGGAGAGTTTGGCCGACAGCAGAGCTCCCTCGGCAGTAATGTTGTTTTTAACAACGAGATGAGGCATCCTTCCTTACGGCGACGTCATAGAGGAATTCTCAATGAAAGCACCAATGTCGGTGTCAAAACCGGCGGATCTCGGGTAGGGGGTCCCGAACTGTGCGCCTAAGGTGGATCGTAACAGGAGGCTGGGGACACGATGTTTTACCCAGGTTCGGGCCCTCTTGATGGAGGTAAAACCATATGTCCTGCTTGATTTATTCTTGATGATATGAGTATTACAAGAGTTGATCTACCACGAGATCGGAGAGGCTAAACCCTAGAAGCTAGCCTATGGTATGATTGTATGTTGTCCTACGGACTAAAACCCTTCGGTTTATATAGACACCGGAGGGGGCTAGGGTTACACAAGGTCGGTTACAAAGGAGGAGGTATACATATCCGTATTGCCTAGCTTGCCTTCCACGCCAAGTAGAGTCCCATCCAGACACGAGACGAAGTCTTCAATCTTGTATCTTCATAGTCCAACAGTCCGGCCAAACGATATAATCCGGCTGTCCAGATACCCCCTAATCCAGGACTCCCTCACCCTCCCACGTCCCTCCCGCCGCCCCCTCCCTCCCCCTCCCCCGTCCATGGCCGACGCCCAGCCGAATTCCGGTGGCCTGGCCGTCGACCCGCCCGGAAAGGTGAAGAAGAAGGCGGCCAAGGCGCCAAGGAAGTTGCGCTCGGATTGCACGCCAGAGGAGATCGCCAAGTTGGACGTGGAATCGGCGAAGAGCAGGAACTGGAGGGCGATCGTCAAGGTCAATGCCGCCGAGGACAAGTTCGTCGCCGAGCGCGATGCGATGGAGGCCGCGCGGCACAAGGCCGCGGCCGACGAGAAGGAGGACATCGTCAACAAAGTGCACGCCCTCCTCATGCTTGGCATGTGCCGTCCACTTGGTTTCCCTGCAGCGGTCGTCGACCCAGCGAGCACCGGCTCATCGGTCGCTCGGCTTCCCAACTGCCAGTCACCGACGTCGCGGACCACGCCTATGTCGCCCGGCTTTCCCCCGCCAAGGCACGATGCCAAAGCCCCGTTTCTCGGGGTCGCCGGACGTTGTCGTGATCACGCCGTCCACCCCGCGCCCCTCTTCCGTCATCGACCTCAATGTGACGCCTGGGTCCAGCAGCGGCGGCCGGTCGGCCGTTAGATGCAAAGGAAGCAAGCACGACCATCGTTTACGGGCACCATGCTGTCCCCTTGCGTCTTGTTTGACGGAATGCCAACCCCAACGCTAGAGGTCGACGACCCCTTCTACAACCAGTTCATGGAGGATGTGATCTTTGAGGGTGGGCATGGCCATGCCTACGATCCCGAAGAGACCCAAAGTCAGGATGGCCACGCCCTGTACGTTGCCGATGAAGAGTCCAACGCCCGTGCTGACTACAACCATGGTGACTCGTGGCAGGAATACGATGACATCTATTGCGAAGGTGATGGTGATGAATAAGAAGGCGATGACATTGATATTCGTGGTGAGCCATTGTTCATCGACGAGCTCACCCAAAGAGCGGAAGCACAAAAAAGGAGGAAGAGCATTCACACGGGTTCATATACACAAGATGAGGACAAGTTGATTTGCCAATGTTGGATGGAGATTAGCCAAGATTCGAAGACCGGCGCGCAACAAAAGGGCCTTGTTTTTTGGACAAGAGTCCACAAAACATTCCATGAAAGGAAGATGTTTGAGCCCTACCAAATTACAAGCAATCGTGGCATCACCTCGATTCAAAAGAGGTGGTTGTTCATCCAACAAGAGTGTAACAAGTATTGCGCTGCATTTGAGAGCGTTGAAGCACGGCTCATGAGTGGTCTCGGTGTTGGGGACATGGTATGCTATCCTTATCCTAGTCCTTTCCTTGCTACGGCCATGAGACTTCGGCCTTGTATATGTTTGCATGTTCAATTGTTGTTGATCATGTGGTGTAGGCATTTCAATCTTTGGAAGCATTCAAGGCCCGGCACAATGACAAGCCATTCACTCTTACGCATTGTTGGACGATCATCAACAATTGCCCAAGTTCAAGGATCAATACCGTGAACTTCAAAGGAAGAGAGGCAAGAAGACGGCCAAGTTCGCCGGAGGTGGAGATGGCGAGGCGTTGAAGAGGCCGAGGGGCAAGACCAACTCCAAGGTGGACAACATACGTGATGCCTCATCCATGGCCTTGCATGAGACTTTGCATGGCATGATGTCTCAAAAGGATGTGAGGGACCAGAAGAAGCGGCAAAGCAAGGACGAGCAAATGAAGCAATACCTAGAGCTTCAAAGGAAGAAGCTTGAGATGGAGGAGACGGCCAAGAGGAGGAAGATCGACATGGAGGAGGCGTCCCGGCAAAGGTAGCTCGACATCGAGGCCGCCAATGTCTCGGCCAGGCAGCGACATCTCGACATCGAGGCCACCAATGCCGCAACCAAAGCAAAGGAGGTGGCCCTTGCGATCATGAGCGTCGACTTGATCAAGATGAGCGAGAAGACAATGAGTTAGTTCGAGGCCAGGCAGAAGAAGATGTTCGACGCCGACAGCCTGAACTAGGTCGTCCGATCGGCCGTGGCCGTTCTTTTTGGAGGCTGGCATGGGTGCCGCCCGCCCGCTGGGCCGCTGGCTGTGTGCCGACGAGAAACACATTCATTTTGGAGGCTGGCTGTGTTGCCGGCCGCTGGCCATGTTGCCGGCGAACAAAACTATTCATTTTGGAGACTGGCTGTGTTGTCGGCGAGGACGTGTAGGCTGCTGGCTCTGTTGCAGGCGTGAACTAGGTCGCTGGTATTTGAAACGTTGTTCTTTTTTAATATAGAGATGGATAAGATGGGGTCAAAGGATGCGGCCGTGCGCTGGTCGCACGTCCACCGCATCCCAAAACAGGTCCAAACACGACCCATCGGGACAAAATCCAGCCAAATTGAATGTCCGTTTGAGGTCGGAGGGTGGAGTTGGCCTGAGAGACTAGATACGTTCATGGATGTGCTGAGCGCATCCGTAGACGTACAGAGAGGCATATTTACTTTGCCAAGTCTGACTGTATTAGGACTTTTGCCGGGACGGGTACGTGAGGAATGGATACCCATTGCCATCCCGGCCTCTCCATCCATGGAAAACAAACGTAGGCCGGCCCGCACGGCAGGACAAGGAGCACGACCAAGGGAGCCCCCGAGCAGCTCGCATTGTGAAGCTCGAAGCATCAGCGACGTCTGTTCTGACCCGGTCCTCGGCCTTAGCTTTTTGTCCCCACTTCACAAGTGGGACGAGAGACCATCCCGTGGCTGCGAGATTGGCACGAGGCGGCGTCTTCCGCCCGTTCCAGCAGGTCCACGTTCCGGTCGCCCTCCGGCTACCATGCTTTCCACCAGGTAATTTCCGGCCTCCCTCTTACCACCACCATGGTCCATGGCTAGCCGGCCCCCTGTTGGTCGGGCATATATGTCCTTATATGTATGCATGTGTTCTTCCCTGACCCTCCACCATCTCTTCCTCCTCACGCTCGCTCCTTCCCTGCCGCGGACTCCATGGGGAGCGCAAGCAAGCTCCGCCTCTGGTGCTCGGCGTTCGCCTGCGCGCTGGCGTTCCTCGGGGCGCACGGGGACGACGACCATCTCGTCGACATTACCTACGTCGAGAGCGCCGTGGCCAAGGGAGCAGGTCAGTCTCACCATCGTTGCTAGCTTCTCACCGTCGTTGCTAGCTTCTCAGCATCTCACTTGTCCTAGTCTGACGTGCGATCTTGCGAATCGTGCTGCTAGTGTGCCTGGACGGGAGCCCCCCGGCGTACCATCTCGCCCCGGGCTCCGGCTCCGGGGTGAACAGCTGGTTGGTTCATTTCGAGGTCAGTACGTCAAATTCACTCGTCGCGGTGGCACTTACTACTACAGAATTCAGTGCGTGCCAAGAAGAATGTTGAGCTCGACTCTGTGGCGGCGGCAGGGAGGGGCGTGGTGCAACAACGCGGCGACATGCCTGCAGCGGTCGCGCACCCCGTTGGGGTCGTCCAAGGAGATGGCCAGGCGGGTTGCTTTCACCGGGATCCTGAGCAACGCGTCGGATTACAACCCTGGTACACTTCAGTTTCACCACCTGGCCATCCAATCATGTTTTGTGCTGTGCTTTTTTTATCAGGTTTCTAGCAGCAGTTCGAGTTTGAGGCTGCCGGTTCAATCAAAATTTATGTGCTTCTTCTTTTTAGTTGGAATTTATGCGCTCAGTAATGAGTGCGCATTTTGTCAAAAACAGACTTCTACAACTGGAATAGGGTCAAGGTTCGGTACTGCGACGGCTCGTCTTTCACCGGCGACAAGGAAGAAGTTGATCCTGTGAGCCCATGCTTCATGTTTTTCTTGATTTTTCTGCTGCTACCGGAATTAGTGTCTCCATAAAGTGTTTGTTTTATTTCTGCAATATCATGATTATTTTGGTTGTGTGCATCCTCAATGTCTTCGACTAGTTTTTGTTACTGCAGAGGTTAGGTGCTTAATATCATCTTTACATATATTTTTTCTCAAATACAAGAAAATTTTGCATATCATTTTGTTGATAGATAGAGAGAGTTACAAATATATTATCGATTTTGTTTTTTTTTAAATATGGACAGAGTACACAGCTACACTACAGAGGTGCGAGGGTGTGGCAAGCAGTTGTAGAAGATCTGCTCGCCAAAGGAATGAACACAGCTGAACATGTATGCATTCTTATCAGCACGATATGCTTAGCATGTGGCTAGTAACGAAACTGTAGCAGGCTCTGATTTCCTCCTCCTGCAAGGACGTGGCAGGCTCTGATTTCAGGATGTTCTGCTGGTGGGCTAACTTCGATACTGCACTGCGACAGATTTCATCAGCTCCTGCCAGTGGATGCCAATGTTAAATGCCTTTCAGATGCCGGTTTCTTCATCAACGTGTAAGGCAGAAGAACAAAAGCATGCCACTATCTGTTTTTGCCGCTTTGTAGATATTCCTCACCCCCTCTATTTTACCATCAATGCACCGTAATTTTACGTTACGTAAGTTTTGTCTTATTTCCGACGCAAAAAGAGATCGTAAGAAAAATATATAATCACCGTAAAAAATATTTTATATTATGTAAAATTACAAACATAAAAACATAGTCTAAAATACACATAAACTGCAAATTCTCTTGTCTTATGACCTATATTTTTATTTTCTTATGTCAAATTTTACGTAGTGAATCAATAGAAATGTAACTATTTGAATTCCAAACGTAATTTAATTATGAAATGATTGTAAGATTACTTCGGGTGAAGAATAACTTATTCTGCACCCTGGATGATGAATAGTAACAATATATATATATATATATATATATATGGAGAGAGAGAGAGAAGAAAGTACGTTGCCTTTCTGAATGATTGGTTCCTCGTTTAACACTTGTCATCTCTGCTCTTACAGGAAGGACATTACCGGAGCCAACCACGTTGAGGCATTTTTCAGTGATGTGGGTACAACACATGTATGCACGTTTGACAGTTCTCTCTACCATAACTGATTACGCAGACATAACTAACTACGGCATTCCCCTTTCGCAAAAAAAAAAAACTATGGCATCCCCCGTTAAAATACTATGGCATGAGTTTTTTTTTTTTGCGGGGAACTATGGCATGATATGATATGGAAGTTTTGAATTCGACTCAACTTTGAACGGAGTGGTATGAAGAATTAAAGAGGCATCATTAAAAAAATTAAAATTACTCCATTCTGTAAATAAAAAAAAATTATATTTGCGCCCATATATATCTACTTTGTTTTCTCTTGTATACCTGATTTTATCGTGTACAAATACCGTAGGGCTCGGCAAAGAATTTACCATCTTCGTGCACTTCCAAGTTGCCTGCAGGCGTGGTAAGAAAATACTTGCAATGGCTACCACAGTTGCACATCTAGAGATCAGACCACGCCCCCTAACAAAAACAAGTTGCTTCTTCCTTGGACGCAGTGCTTTTTTCCTCAGAACGAGGTGCAGCAGATCCAGACGCCCCTGTTCATCCTAAATGCAGCATACGACTCATGGCAGGTTTATCATCTGATCGGTCTGATGGTTATCATTTCTGCCTGCAATACGCTTGGCACTTTGCATCCATCAAGGCACTAATTAATACTGTATATCTTGCTTCTGTTTCCACGCGCCCGCATCGCATGCAGGTACGGCACATCCTGGTGCCCGAGGGCTCCGATCCCGAATGGCGAAGTTGCAGGGACGACATAACCCAGTGCTCCGCGAAGCAGCTCGAGACGCTGCAGGGTACGTAGCCGCATTTTGTGTACTTGGTCGGTCAGCTATATGTACACACACGTAGTAGGAGTACGTGCGCATGCTCACCGGGGAACGCACGGTGGTTGGCCGGCGCAGGGTTCAGGGACGATTTCCTGGCGGCGCTGGGGGCGAGCGCGTCCAGCGGATCCAGAGGGCTGTTCGTCAACTCGTGCTTCGCGCACTGCCAGTCCGAGACGCAGGACATCTGGTTCGCGCCCGCTTCCCCGGCGCTCGGAGACAGAGTAAACCACCCTCTTCCTTCCTCTTGCGCCCTTGAGTTTACTCCTGTCCTGGTGTGTGTCAGTGTGTGTATCTGACGAGAGCTTCCTTCCATGTCCATGTCGCAGAGAATAGCGGACGCGGTTGGGGACTGGTTCTACGGCCGCAGCGGGTTCCAGAAGACGGACTGCCCCTACCCTTGTGACTCCACCTGCTACACTAATTGATGCACCACCACCACTAGTGTGCCTCGTCCGTCCGTGCTCGCAACAAACCATTGGTTTTGGACTTTTGGTTCTATTTATACACTAGTAAGCTTGCACGTGCAACACACGTCTTGAATGTTGACCAAATAAGATTCACACATATATGCAATTAAAAAATAGCTTGCAAAATCTTGTATTATGGGTCGGAGAGAGTATGAGTTCAATGGATACACTATATTGTGATGTCACTCAAGTTGTTTTTTTCAAAAGTGGGACATAATTGCGGTCCTCTTTCTGCATAGAGACAATAATATATTTAATCTATTGAATATTCTATATGTTGAAAGAGAATAAGAAATCTAGTTATGATTGAGAAAAGCCTTGCATTATGCTTAGTACATGGAGACATAATCCTACATTTGGTCTTGAATATTATGGTGTAAGCAATTCATAACTAAAATTTGAGGAAAGAATAAGGGATAGTAGATCAACACATACTTCTTAGATGAGGTTGCTAACCAAATGCTTATGTAAAGTTGCAAATGGCATAGGCATTGATAGTGTATTATGAAAATCCTGACACTCCATCACATGTTGCAAATACTCAAAACACACCCGAATGAGCACTAAAATGGAAAGCAGATATCTCACATAAAAATATCAACGGCATTGAACCAATATTGTGAAGTACAATCCTCTTAACACCAAAAGATCAAAGGGACTTTTTTCACAATCAAAGGAGCTCAGCTCTCTTCCTCATGATTACTGTCAGTTTGCATCAAAAAGCAAGTTGATCCGGAGCAGCATTATGCCACAGTCTCCGGTCACTAACCTGCAGGGGCAGCTTTGCACACAAAAATCAGCCTCTAAGAATAGAAGACACCGTAAGGGACAAAAGGCTTGGCTCGGCTCCTCAATTTCACACAGGAGGCCCATAATGTCTGATGTGTTCTCTTTTCATTAGTTCCACATCTCCATCAGTACCTGACAATCATATTGAAAGGTAACATCAGGCCATTCTTCCTCCTTCACAGGTCGTACGTACCACATCCTGGAGAGAAGTGTTTCAGCAACCAGAGAGTTTGGAATATTTGCATACCTCTGAGACGCTGCTATAATGAACTCACCTCTAGTACGTCTTACAATTAACTCCATGGTCGCATGAGCATTGGCACATGAGAATGCCACGTAAACGTTAACTTTGGTAATCCCAGGATCTGGGCGTCTTTACCTCTTATTTAAGCTTGCTTGGACCACATCATTAACCCATTTTTTCAAGTTTTATTGGGCTTCACAACATAGTTTTCCCTATGGCTAGGAATCTATTTTCATGCACCACTGCATTTGAGAATCTGAGAATAAGAATGGATGTTGCTACTAAAAAGCTATAGTTTATGTGTGTTCTGGAAACAATGGTAGTTTTTCAAAAACAAATGCAGTAAGTTTCAGCTTACCATCCTTTGTTTTGATTCTCTCTTCTTAGAGTGGTCTTAACAAATAATACCCAGTAACAAGCACAAAGAAATACAAAGAACTTGATTCACATTGAGTTACAATAATAAGTGCATATTGATAATTTGATAGCATTTCTCATATTAAACTTAAAATGTAGAACCCACTGAAGGAATCTTGTTCCAAACTACAGTCACACAAAAGCAGTAAAACAGGGTTTGCTCCACTTGGCATGGAACATGCAGAGAGGAGTGTGCTATGTAACATTAAAATCATTTATCTCCTGAACGTTACCTAGGAAGTTTTCTTCCAAGTACTGCAGACCGGTCAAGATATCCAACAACCCCTTGATGAACATCGTCAATGTATCTGCTCAGTCAAGTCCAGCTTTGGCAATCAAAACCTATTTATCAAAAGAATGTTAGCAGTAATAACATAAGATCTGCAAATGTGGCTAAATCAGTAGATTGTATATTTCTATAGTCGGCAACAAATGAAGTTGTTCAAGATTCCAAATAGCAAGGCCATAAGTTAACCACTTTTAATATTCAATTTCAGATACGATGTGGGTTGTTGGACCTGGAGTGCCTGTAGCATCTCCAACAATTACAGTTTGGCATGTCACTATGAAATAGAGAGTAGTTTTTCTACACCCAGGCTCGGTGCACCCATGCAAGAAAACGTACCAAAACATTTCAAAAAATTCTGAAACTTTGTGTGAATGATTATCAACAAATGTTATGGGCGCTTGCAAAATTTGGTGCTCAAATAACATTCAAGGAGCTCTCTACAAAAAAAACAAATTCACTGAAAATTAGTCAAAATGTAAGTGCACTATTTGAGCAGATTTTGTAATTTTATCATTTTTGGAGAGAGCTCCTCCGTCCGAAAATACTTGTCCTAGAATTGATAAAAATGGATGTATCTAAAACTAAAATAGTTCTAGATACATCCATTTCTCCGACAAGTATTCTGGATGGAGGGAGTACAAACAAAGAGAGGCAAGTTAGGTTGCCGTGCTTGTTGTTGTACGGATGTTAAGGAGGATGAAGGCAGCAACAACATCTTGGTTCTTTATTTTTAGCTTCAGAGATAAGATACCTTGTGCAACGCAAAAGTGTTTTTTTGTTAGTCCTAGAGCATCGTCGACGCTGTGTACTGCAAATAAAAACACATCGAAGGTTCTAAAATGACCCAAAGAATCAAAGGATGTGAAAATTGGGATTCATGCATACATATGTCAAGTTGACAAGCTAAAACCAGTCACTTGGATCACAAATACTGTTCACTCACCTTGAACCTAAAATAAAGAACCAAGATGTTGTTATAATCCATGAAACATGCACATCATACTTCATTATTTTTGAAATCTGCCATTTGTATAGAACATCGGAGCTTAGACCTAAAACTTTACCTGGAGAATGGGGAGGACAGTGCCAACATGAGCAGCAAAAAACATGATTTTGGCATCAAAAGCATCATGGCAATATACAATAGATAACTTGTAAAATTAGCAAGTGCCCGCATAAACAAATGGCAAAAAAAAATAGGTAAAAGGATAGAAACATGTATATGAGAGTACCTATATGCAAGAGTTAACTACCGAACCTCTAAAGATTATTACGCTGTTGGAGAAATATGAAACATGACATTTGTACTGCACTTAAAAATGAACACCCAAAACACGGTTAAAAAGCACATACCTATTGTTGCATCATAGCCCAAACTAAGATTGTCTTGTACCAAGCTTCCCAATAAATATAGTGATCAGGGGAGCCTGCAGAAATTCAAGAACAATTAATATATGGATTAATAGGCCTGAGACATTAATGGGAGAGCACATACAACATATAATCAGGCTGCAAACAAATCAATGAGAAAGAAGTGGAGAAATATCTTTAAGAGGCTAAAGGAAAATCTGATTACATAGAACAGAGTATACACAATAGGAAAATGATCACAATTCACTCTCCTGCAATGTAACAACAGTCCATACGCATCTATTCCTCCCAAATCACAGTACCTTAATTTCAGAAACTAATAACCAGTCCAAAAGACATACAAATTATCAGAAAGTCGTCATCAGACTGGCAATCAGATAGAAGATCAAAATGAATTGGTCATGCAACAGACCCTCATTGGAGAAAAGAATATACAACACACTGGGATATGATTATGCTGAAAAGGAAACATAAATGAGAGGTAGTGCCATCAAGAATCATTCTGTGGCGAAGATAGTTTAAAAAAAAGTGACGACCGAGGAAGATTACGTACCCAACTCTGTACCTTCCCAATTCCCTATGGCGAGCATTGCGTCGGTACTCCTCTGTCGAGCTGCTCATTGTTCTGCAGCTTGTTGTCATCTACCTGCGCCTGACCATGATGAAACACTTTTGCAGCCACGCGCATTTGGGTGGCACCTCGAGGCAATAAGCCAAGGGCACAACAGGAGGAGGACACCGGGATTACGACCGAATAATGATGGTCAGCAGCGGCAGCTTGTGCCGATGCTGCGAGTAGAATGGGCGATGACCTGCGTTTCATTGCTGGATTAAACAGCTCCGAAACAAAAAAAAAAGTCAAAATTGAAGCCGTTCCAGGTCTCACAATGCATCATAGGTTCCAATGTAGGTGTAGCAGGAATTGATCATAACAGGAAACAATGCATATGTAGTAGGTATTGATCTACATAGCAAACATTGTCATTGCTACCGGTTTTTGTTGCCTGTGTGCACAAAAGTAGCATCCCAAAGATCAGATAGTTAGGTTGTCCTGGCTATGCATCACACACAAAAAATAGTACTGCATATGAATTTTATAAAGTCGTCTTCTAAGGGGCACATACATTGTCCAAATTAGAGAATTAGAAAATTGTAGTCTTGAATTAAACCTGCCAAATTAGAAAATTGTCCAAAGAAGTATGTAAGGTAGCGGTGCATTACCTTCAGGTCCTCCAATATACATGTAAAATAATTCTGAAGCTCAGAACCCTAGAAGTATGTAATGATCTCTTGCCGGATTCTGCACAAAAAATAGTGCAAAGCTAAATAAGACTATCTTGAGCAGGTCACAATATAGGGAATATCCTTTTTTAGAAGATATAATTTGAATCATCCCACGTGAGGTTTCAGCTTGCCAGCTAAGACTTTAAGTGATGTGGATTTTCTAACTCCATTTGTTCCAACAAGGCCGCATATCTGGGAAGACCTTGAGACGGGCTAATTGATCGATTCTATAAAAAAGGATAAGCTTCAGGAGAGATTGGGAAACCTACAAACAATGAACAGCACAAGTTCAGACAAGCAATTGATGATCTCGATGGCATAAGATTGGCATTCTGCACCAAGGATTACAGCGGAAGACAATGTTATAAGACATACGACTGTACTTTCACAAAACAATAGAAGTTCTTCTCTTATTTAATCAACTGACATGATGTTAGAGACGTATACTGTGTATACCTTGTGCAAATAACACAATCTGCCTCCGCTCTTCCGGGATGAACATGACCTTGAATGGGGGTCTAACATTGATGCAAAGCTTCCCTGCACCAACAACCAAAACCATTC